AGTTGTCTTTTCGTTTTACGTATTTATTCAAAAAAAGATTCACTTTCAAATAGTTAGAACGTCAAGTGAATGCTATATCCAACGCGTTATCATTGTGTTCACAGTCAATATCTAATGCATTTAATTGTATATAATGTTCAAACCATTGTTCAAATTGATCCGACCGAAACATTCGATCATGACTGTACTCTAATGCTATTTTGAATTTTTTCAATCTTTTCATTCGTTCAAAAATCAACGGCATAATCGTGTACATAGTGTCACTTGTCGTTCCATAAATTGACAAATATTTTAAGTTTTTGTTGAACACGTCTGTGAATTTTAACCATTGAACCAAATCAATCCATCCAACAAATCTTAACATTAAAGTCGTAATTTGCTCACACCACACTTGTGTCTCATTATCAAATTGATGTGTGATATTCAACAATAAATTGAACGTGATTGTCAACGAGGTCATATATTTTAGATCATATTTCAAAATTAATTCCCGTACAAGATTCACTGGACGTTCTTTGACTGTCAACATCGTCAGTTTCGAAACGTCGACAACACTGGACAAGTTCTGAATGACGACAGCGTTATTGACGACTGAATCACAATCGATGATCAAATGTTTAACATTGGGATACTGGTAGGTCAATGATTTCATTGTTGAAATTCTTTCGTTAATTCCACCGGATATCGTCAGTGCTCGTATGCTATTTCGTGGATGATTATCGACTGCTGTTGTTACCGTTCTTATATCAAATGTGATCGGCAATGTTTTATGCCTCTTTCCCCATCTCTCATACGTGTAAAAGTGCAAACCAAACGATGAGTGACAATCGAGTACTACGAACCATCCGCGCTTGAGCCAAAATGATGTCTTGAACGATGATATCAATTCATCCATGACAAGAGTAGATGTTAGATTTTCTTTAAAACAAAACACTTGAAATTTAAATTCAAACAAGAGAGGCAGATGTGTGACAATGAGTTGTTCCCAACATTTACCATCAACCATTTTCATGTCGGAACCTAAAACTCATTATTAGAAGTTTCCTAGGTATGAGGAAAATAAATATGAAAATTATTCTCCATTATCACTCAGGTTGTCTGACTAAAATAAGCTCCTCCACTTACAAAATATTTCAATAAATTCGAACACTCAGTCACCTTTGAAGTAAATCATGCCATAATCTCAAGAGAAGTGTTCAATACATTATATTTTCTGTTAATCAAATCTGAAGAAATCTGATAATGAACTCGACACTGAAAGGTTGGAAATTATTTATGGAAAATGCTCGGCGAATTATAAAGAGTACCTACAGAAATTCCTCGAAGATTTTCCAGTTTATAGAAAATCGAATTTCCAGCAATCTAGAAAATCGTCGCCGAATTTTCATAAATAATCCCAAGAAAGTAGAAATTTCTTTTTGATTTTTTGTAAACTGGAAATTCCTTGACACGCCTGCACTCAGAGGTGCAACCGGTGAACAAAATCATAACCGGTACCGGCCGGTCACCGGTTACCGGTGAACATATGCAGACCGGACCGGACCGACCGGTTGACCGGTCATTCTTATAAAATATTACATATTAACATTCATATTAACAGCAGCTTGTAAATAATTGCCTCTCTCGTCTTCAACCATATCCATAAGATTTGGTGGTTTTGGTGATTTGTTTTCTCGAAATTTCTCAAATGGATCTACTGTTTTTTTTCTTTTTATTCGAATCTACAAAAAGAAATTTTTATGAAACGCTTCGATACCAGTTCTTGCTTTACAAAAAACTTATAACAAGTTGTACGAATACAAACACAATATTAAAAGACGGAGCTAAAAACTTACATTAAGTTCAAGTATCATAGACGATTACATAACAAACATTAGTCAATGCATGCACGCATTACGTATAGACCGGACAAATATGAATATTTCAAGCAGAGAATAATGAATGCAATTATTATCCTTTCTTTGAGCAGTACAAAATAATACTAAATATGCTTCTTTCTGTCATATTCTATCACATAAGCCAAGCTGACCAGTCCCGGTCCTGCAGTTTGACCGGAACCGGTTGAACCGGCCGGTTGATAAGTCTCGACCGGACCGGACCGGTAACCGGCGCCCGGTCCGGTTGCATCTCTGCCTGCACTGAGTGGTGGCGCGATCATGTTGTGTTGGGGCTGACCCCGCTACCTCATACTTTTGAGAAATTCCGTCTCCGATTTTGGGACCTTTCTACCGAAACTTCGCGTCACCACTATCTCTGCCTAAATCAAAATTCGTAAATAAATATGAGTGTCTTTACATGACGCTCTTATACCTACACTGATTGCAAAACAAAAAGATGAATAAGTATTTGGCCTAGAAATTCCTGGACGAATTTCCACTTTCTAGAAAATCAATCGAATTTTATAAATAACTCCCAACAAACTAGAAATTCGATGTCCAATTTCCAGTTTATAGAAAATCAAAATCGAATGGAAATTAAAATCTTGGAAATTATTTATAGAAGTTCGATTGATATTCTATAAACTAGAAAATCCCCGGCGATTTTCCAGTTTATAGAAAATCCTCAGGGATTCTCCACCTTTACAGAGAATCGAATTCATGGAAATTCAAGTCGATTTTCTATAAAGTAGAAAATGAACATTTTCTAGAAAGGTGGAAATTCGTCGAGGAATTTCTATAAGCGAGAAAAGCCCCGGTGATTTTCGGTCGATTTTCTATAAACTGGAAATTAATTCAAGATTACAGTGCATGGCGATTTTTTGACGAAAACTCTATAGCTTTAGAATTTCACTCTTACTCGGTGGTCATTCGTTCACGAAACAGCATAATGTGTTTGTGTGGCACATACCTAACCTATTGCTAGTCGAAAAGCGATGCCTCATGATGATAGCTAAAATGACTAATAGAGATTTATAAGCATTCCTCATCCAAGTTTTATCACCAAAAGCATATTATGAAATCAAAAAGATCTGAAACTCTTTCGGAGTTCCGTGGGTAATTTTAAGATTTTTGGGGGGTTTTCTTTTCCAGTTCATCTGTTTACACTAACACTTTGTTTTAACCGTATGACACAATTTTCTGATTAAGCAAATCTGCTGCTCACTTACCAATTAATTTGAAACTTGTCAGTTTGGGCATAAGGCGTAGTACGTATTCGACAGCTTCAAAACGATCAATAGCGATAAGTGTCAATTGAACGAGATTAAGTAATGGAGGCACATCCACCTGTGGTGTTACGTACTGTAAATGTTTTGTAACTAATAAAACGTACAAATTTTTCATTTTTGGTACATATTTGAGGAAATGAATTAAATCGGTGAAACACCATTTAGCAGTTCCAGATGAAAAATATTCTAGAGCGATAGGTGCAGAGAGGTTATCGAAGCAAATACAATCCTCGTCAGATATTAAACGAAGATATTTGAGCGACACAAGTTTGTTCAAATCAATCATTCGGCCCAAAGTTTTTGCTTGGTAAAACGTCTAGAAAATACAAGATTGTTGCAAGATATGCTGATGATTGATAGATCTCACTTTTGTTGATATGAAGTTAAGATTGTCAGAATAACTTGTACTAGATCAACAACAAATATTTTTATTAGGAAATAATAACTATCCACGCTTTCAACCAGATACTCTACGGCATGGCCCCGTAACTCCTACCGTAGTGAAATTTTGAAGTTTTATTCTTCTTCTCATTTTTTAATGAAGCAACTCCCAGAGCTGTGCAATATGTACAACTGTAGAGCAAACTTTCTGAATCAAATGAAATGTGTCCAGCATCGGCATGGTTTTTCAAATAGGAAATACAAAGAAAATACGGAATACCCTTGTCTAACTTTAAAAAGTAGCATTTTCTTTGTATTTCTTAAATAAAAAATCACGTCGATGCTGGACACATTTTATTTGATTCAGAAAGTTTGCTCTGCAGTTGTATATATTGCACAACTTTGGGAGTTGCTTCATTAAAAAATGAGAAGAATAAAACTTCAAAATCTCTTCATAGAATTTCACTACGGTAACAGAGTTACGTGGCCACCTCGTCTAATCATTATTAACAACGTAGAATATACTAAACACACACTATATATTCAGTTCTTAATTTTTTCTTATGTTTTCCAGTTTCTCATTTTTCTTTTCTGTTCTTGAACTTATGAACTACACTACGTAGCTGATGATAATTAGAGTATCTGAGTACAGCTGTTATTCATTTTTTAATAAAAATGTTTGTAGTTGATCTGGTATAAATTGTTCTAGCATCCTAAATTCTAAACCATATAGCCCTATCTTATTTCTTACCACAAAATCAATGTGAATGGTCAATCTTGTTAAATGTTTGAATTCGACTAATTTTGGCAAGAGTTGTATGATGTCTGGGGTGATGCACGGCGACCAGAGATAGAAGGACTTTAGATAATGAAATTTATCAATATGATGTAACAAATGCGAACATTTTTCCATATCAACTCGAACAGAAACGATCTGATTGGCTGCCATTTTTTTAATTAATGCATTGTAATTATGATTATGAATCTTTTTCTTGCTATTAAAATTCTTTTTCAATGTAATATGAAATCTAAGACAGTTTATCAATGAATTAAGTCGATGATTGAGATCAAAGAGAGAATAAAAGAGATTAAACGTTTCAATGTAATTAAATATTTCAAATAGCATCTCATTCGGAAGATTCTCAAAGT